ACTTTGCAGGCTGTTTGACAGCCTTTTGGGCTAAAGGTGAACACTTTTCTGCTTCTATTCCTCATTGATATGTAACAAAATTAACAATGGTTCTGACTTGATTTTCAACGGCTGCTTGGGATCTAAGGTATCCATACACTCTAATGTTCAGTTCCTTATGGATGGAAATTTAGGATATTTTAATTTTTCACTAGGGCAAACCACCCTGGAATGAATATTCCTATGCATGCACCTTTTTACCCTACAAGTGTCCTTTTACTACCTCAGAAAATTGTGGCTGCTTGCCCCTGGCAGGAAGTTGTGAAATTCAATCCAAGGGTTTTGTCTTCTAGCTAAGCATAGTGTTTCTCTGTCCCGGAGCAAGTCAGCACAGCTGTGCTTGGGTTTTTACTACCATCTGTGTGCCAAAGAAATCTGATGTTTCATGTTCTGTCTCCCTTTCTGATATGAAACATCAGATTTCTTTGGCACACAGATGGTAGTAAAAACCCAAGCAAAGACTCCTAACTCTGGGAAACGAACTAGGGGCGGTGGAAGGGGAGGTGGGCGGGGCGTGGGGGTGACTGGGTGATGGGCACTGAGGTGGGCACTTGATGGGATGAGCACTGGGTGTTATTCTATATGTCGGCAAATTGAACACCAATAAAAAATAAATTTATAAAAAAAATCTGAGGTTATCTGTTTCTTTTGGATGAATAGGAGGGCCTTCCTTTAGCTCTCTAACGCCAAGTGGAGGCAAATGTTATGGACTGAATTGCTTCCCCGCCAAATTCGTATGTTAAAGCCCAAACCCTGATGTGATTGTATCTGCAGATAGGATCTATAGGAGGTAATTAAGATCAAATGAGATCATAAGCGTGGTGCCCTATTCCAATAGGACTTTGGCCTTGTAAGAAAAGGAAGAGAGATCACACTGTTTCTCACTGCATAGAGTACACAGCAAGAATTTGGTTATCTATCAGCCAGAAAGAGAGCTCTTACCTGAACCTGACCATGGTGGCACCTTGACTTTGAACTTCCAGAAAGCCTCAGAACTGTGAGAAAGTAAATTTTTGTCATTTAAGCCACCCAGTCTATGGTGTCAAAACACCATATATGGCAGCCTGAAGTAAGACAGCAGAGTGTTTAATCAAAACTCTTTTGATGAGACAGGTGACAGAAACTGAGTTTGAATTAGCTAGGAAAAAAAGTATTCATTCGGGGAACTCTAGGAAGGGTTGAACAACCCAAACAAGAAAAGAATAGGTACTTGGGGGAAACCATTGGCCTCTACCACACTGTTTTTACAACTTATTCCCAAAGTTCAGTGGCTTTCCTCATCCTAGGGTTTGGAGTAGGCATCAGAGGATGAGAGAAGAGAATTAAGGAGAACTGTATGGGACCCCAATCTATACTTAGTGTAACCTGAAGTTCATCTCAAGTCACAAGCATCATCCCATGGCAGATTTAAGCTTTCGTGGAAGTTCCCATGGCAGCACCTGTCTGGAATTGGAGAGAAACTTATTTATTGAGGTATGATACTCAACCTTTGGATATGCTCAAAGGTGAGTAAAAGGTTCAAACTTACAACCCTGAGATCAAGTCATATGCTCTACCAATGGAGCCAGCCAGGTGTCCCAGGTATTTCAGATTATTTCTAAAAATTTATTTCAGATATATTATTCTAATAGTACTTGACACCTTTGGAGCATTTGATGCTACTTAAAGGATGATCCCTTTGTAGTACATTCTCCTGGTTCTCCACTTTCCTCTCTGGCTACTCCTTTCTAGCTTCTACTTCCTTGCCCATCCTTTATTGTTTATCTGCAGTGCCCTGCCTTAGTCCTTCTCCTCCCTGGTTCATCTGAACCATTTCCTTGTCTTCACCCACCACCTACATATGAAGATGACTCTCAAATCTCTATCTTCACCCCAGTCGCTGGCTTCAGTCTGCTGACCTTGGCTTGTTCACAAATGCCTCAATGCTCAACATAGCCAAAACTAAACTCACCATCTTCCCCCTTGCACTTCCTCCCTACTATCACAAAAGCTATTTCTTTTTCTGGATTCCGTATTCAGAAGCCTGGTTTCTCTTTCCTTTATCACACCCTACAGCTCAATTACCATATCAAAATTCTTTTTCCTAAATTCATCTTCAATATCCATATCTCCACAGCACTGCTGTGTCATTTTAGGCCACCATACCTCACCAGGATTGTCACAAGTTTCTTTCTTTCTTTCTTTCTTTCTTTCTTTCTTTCTTTCTTTCTTTCTTTCTTTCTTTCTTTCTTTTCATTCTTTTCTTTCTCTCTCTCTCTCTCTCTTTGTTTTTCTTTTTCTTCTTCTTTTTTTTTTGTAAGATTTTATTTGACAGAGAGAGAGAGAAAGAGAGAGCATGAGTGAACACAGCAGGGGGAGCAGCAGAGGGAGAGGGAGAAGCAGGGTCCCTGCTGAGCAGGCAGCTCCATCTTAGGACCTCTGGATCATGACCTAAATCGAAGGCAGATGTTATCCAACTGAGCCACCCAAGCGCCCCAACAAGTTTCTTATTTCTGTTTTTGCCCCCTTCCCCAGCCATTTAGTGTTGCAACTAGATTGATTTTTCTAACTAAAGAGCTAGAAGACACGTTATTTAAAACATTTACTATACCCACTATATATTAGACAATGGTTTAAGGACACGAAGAATAGGACACTATGGGGGGATTGGTTGGTTGGTAGTTTTTTTTTTTTTTAAGATTTTATTTATTCATTCATGAGAGACACAGAGAGAGAGAGAAGCAGAGACACAGGCAGAGGGACTCGATCCCGGGAACCCCAGGATCACGCCCCGGGCGGAAGGCGGCGCTAAACCGCTGAGACACCCCGGCTGCCTGGTTGGTTGGTTTTTGCAAATATTGGCCAAATATCTACATGGTGTTTTAAAAATTCTAATAACAACCCTTTTTAAAATAATAATTTTATTGAAATATAATTCACATACCGTAACAGTCATCCTAAACATGTATTAAATGGTTTTTATATTCACAAAGTTGTGCAACTATCACCACTATCTAATTCCAGAATATTTCATCTCTCCTCACTTCCCCTGGCAACTACTAATCTACTTTCTGTCTCTGAAGATTTGCCTATTCTCATATTCCAAATTAATGAAATCATATATGTGGCTTTTTTTTGGGGGGGGGTCTGGCTTTCACTTAGCATCTTTTCAAGATTCAACCACATTGTAGCATGCATCAGTACTTCATTCCTTTATTTTTTAAATTAATTAATTAAATTAACAAATTTATTTTCTCATAGTGCTAAAAGGCTGGCAGTCCCAGATCAATGTGTTGGTGGACCAATTTCTCCAGAGGCCTTGCTCCTTGGCTTGCAGATGGGTACTTCTTCCCTTTAATATTTAATATTCTATCATGTGGATGCATCACAGTTTGTTTATCCATTTATTTGCTGGTGGGCTTAGGGTTGCTTTCACTTTTTGGCTATTACAAATAATGCATGCACAAGGGTCCGTATGGACTTAGGTTTTCATTCTCATTGATACACACCTAGGAGTGGAACTACTAGGTTAGATGGTAACTTTAACCTTTTGGGAATTGCCAGACTGTTTTCTAAAGCAGCTGCACCAATTTACAACTCTACCAGCAGAGTGTGAGGGTTTCAATCTTTCCACATCCTCACCAACACTTAATGTCTTTTTTCAAGTTATCTTAGGGAGTGTGAAGTGGTATTTCATTATGGTTTTGAATTGCATTTCTCTGATTATTAGTGATGTTGAGCATATCTGCATATGGATTTGTATGTCTTTTTTTGAAAAATATCTGTTCAAATCCTTTGCTTATTTAAAAAATTGAATTGTGTTTTCATTGTTGAATCATAAGGGTTCCTTATACATTTTGCATGCTAAACCTTTAGATATATGATTTGCAAAAATTTTCTTTCATCTTGTGGATTGTCATTTCACTTTTAATCATTACCTTTGACACAGAAGTTTTTAGTTTTGATGAAGTCTGATTTATCTATTTTTCTTTTCATTGTACTTTTAGTACTAAGAAACCATTGCCTAATCCAGGATCATGAAAATATAGTCCCATTTTCTTCCAAGGATTTTATAGTTTTAGCTCTTACACTTAGATCTAGAATTTATTTTTTTGTATATGTGCAAGGTAGGTCCAACATCATTCTTTAGCTTGTGAATATTCATAGAGCTTTTAAACTATATTGAATTGCTTGTCTTTCAATTAGACTGTAAACTCCTTGAGGGCAGAGACCATAATGACTTTACTAATTTTTTTTCTGAATGAATGGATGAATTAGGTTGCCAGAATATTAAGTTTCTTTTCTTTTGTCTGAAATCATATCAGTTCCGTGCAGTAACGGTGTTTTTCATTATGATGTTGGCTATTCAAATCTGTTGAGAGTAACAATTCAGAAACAAATACACAGGCTGACAGGAATAGTATTATTTAACAGGCTTCACGATAGTGAAACTGATTTGGATTCAAATCCTGACTTTAAGAACTATGTAACCTTGGGCAAAGTACATTACCTACTTCTTATTCTATAAAATGGGGATTCAGATGGTGTAGCTGTCAAGAGGATTAAATCAGATCTTTTTAACTACAGTGCTTTACACGTTGTAAGCATTCATCAAATAGTGGCATTTATTATTGCAAAGGACTAGCATCAATGTTGAGCAATCCTTTAACATGCTGCTCCCCTTTTGTCCAAAATTTCTTCAGAGTGCAGATTCCAAAATTCCTATTTTCTTTTGTGAATTAAGAATTGTTAGACCATTGATTTTTTTTTCCTGATTCGGAAAGATACACACAAAAATTCAATTCAATGACCCTAGAAATGTATGTAAATACTGTGGAGTTCAGTGTCCTGAGCAATAGAATGAAACACCTTTTGGGGTGTAAGAACTTAGTAGGAAGGGGGCTGGCTATACAGGGATTGTAAGCATTTTTTATTCATCTGGATGTGGCACATATTTCAGTTTTGTACATTATTTGCTTACGCGTCTGTCTCATCTACTACAGCCAGGATAGGAACCCTGTCTTCAGTCATCTTTGCATTTCCAGTACGGTGCATACCGCACGGATGGCTGGATTGAGGCGCCTTCTCCACGGGCGTCAGGAAGGATTCCCTGGATAGGGATGGAGAAGTCCGAAGGGCGTTGGAAGGACCTCGGACCACTTTCAAGGAGAGAAGAGCCACTCAGGTACAGAATACACGCCGCTCCTATTGCTCCAGTCGTAAGCAAGTAACGGAGAGAACCACATCCAACTGCCTCTTCCCGGCTCCCGGCCTGGCAGGACCACTTCCGGGAGGGGGCGGGGAGACAGGAGGAGGCGTGCCGGGAAGGAGGCCGTTTGCGCTGCACCAGGCGGAAGTGTGCCAAAGGTACCGGCGCCGCGGCTTCCGGTCCGTGTTAACGCGGCTTAGGTACGCTGCGTGGTTTGTGTGGCGTGAGGACAGACTTCGGAGGGCGAGTCAGTGGGTGAAGAGGCGAGTATAGGCGTCTGAACTCAGAAGTCTGGAGTCTAGTGGGAAGATAGGAAAAAAGGCCGGGAACCCGAATACAATCTAACCTCTGTTTCTGAGGGGGCAGCTTCCACGGGAACCCCTCTGCCCTGGTAACGGCCAAAGAGGAGATGGCGCCAGTCAGGGAGCGGCCGTGGCCGACACAGTGAGGAAGCTTGAAGGCGGAGCAACCGGAGAAGCCTCGGGAGAACAGCCAGAGCCGTCGCTGCCGCTACCACTGCCACCACCATGGAAGGGGCAAAGCCGACTTTGCAGCTCGTATACCAGGCAGTGCAGGCGCTTTACCACGACCCAGATCCCAGCGGAAAGGAGCGCGCCTCATTTTGGCTTGGGGAGCTGCAGCGTTCGGTGAGGGGCCCAGAGAGGCCGTTCTGCGCCGCGGGGCAAGGGCGGGGTGGGACCCGGGCTAGAGCTGGAGCCTGAACGGGGCGGTTGGCCTCGTGAGATGCTCCTTAGGGAGGAGCTGCTGCCGCGGGGTGGGGCTGCGAAGCTACATTTACGCCGCTTTTCGGAAACTACTTCCTTCTGGTCGGTCGCGAACTGGCCCTTTCCCCACCCCGTAGAATCTTGATTTGTAGGTCCCGTACTCGCTTGTGGCACGGATCTGGTCGTGTTTAAGTTTTACGCTTGCTGCTTCTTAGGCTCTGCTTTCGCGTTTAGTCGTCCTTCAGCCAAATCCAGTCCCATTCTTTCTCTATCTTCCACTTACGGATGCTTTCTCCGTCTCCTCTCGGTGTCCCAGTGTTGAGCCTGGCAGTTCCATCCCAGCAGTAGCCTTACACCTCACTGTGTGTGCCTCACTGATTTTTCATTAACAGCGATAGTTTGAGTCTCTCATTCTCGAAACTTCTCAGGTTTCTAGATTTCTGTTACACGTGAATTTCCGCCGTGTTTTGGAGTACACCATGATGCAAAGAAAAAAAAAATACCGGTTCTGATTTCAGGAAATTCTTGCAGTTAGTTCACCTTTTGATGCATATTTGTTTTTTGACCTGGTTTTTCCCCTCTGACTTTAGTTTCTTTATAAGATATTGGTATCATAGCTGCTTTGATTATTCCATATGATTGTGTGGATATCCGGTTAGGGGTTTAATTACAACCTGTTATACCTATGCACAGGTCTTACCATCCTCTGTTTTATATTCACTTTTCCTGTGTCTTATTTGTGTGTGTGTATACTCGATGATCTTACTGACTTTACCTTTATTTTTGCATTTTATATTCCCAAGCATATTTTTAAAGTTTACTCCCTTCTCTTTTTAAAAACTAGTAACTGATACTTTAGGGTGCTTTGCCCTTTTAAGTGAGGCTCTCGGCTGTGCAAGTACATAGTACATATTTAAAATTTTGCAGCTTTGGTTTTAAATATTACATTTAAAAATTGGGGAACCCCAAGTTCTGGATAACCTCATGGGAAGATAAAGGAGTAAGACTCACTATAGGCTACACAAGAAAAACCATTCACATATACTCTTTTTTTTTATTTTTAAGATTTTATTTATTTATTCATGAGAGACAGAGAGGTGAAGACAAAGGCAGAGGGAGAAGTAGGCTCCCCACAGGAAGCCTGATGGTGGGACTTGATCCCCCGGGCCCTTGATCAACCTGAGCCAAATGCAGATGCTTAACCACTGAGCCGCCCAGGTGCCCCACATATACTCTTATTTAATGTTTAGTTTGTTTTTGGGGAGTCACAAATCTGATACATCATACCAAAAGTCACCTTTTCCCTACTAAACTTGCTTATTGTTGTATTATTTATTTATTTATTTATTTATTTTTTATTTATGATAGAGAGAGAGAGAGAGAGGCAGAGACACAGGCAGAGGGAGAAGCAGGCTCCATGCACCGGGAGCCTGACGTGGGATTCGATCCCGGGTCTCCAGGATCGCGCCCTGGGCCACAAGGCAGGCGCTAAACCGCTGCGCCACCCAGGGATCCCGTTTGTATTTTACATTAATATTTTGAGTGCTTACTCTGTACCAGTAACTGTGGTAGGCATTGGTATATGGAAATGAACCAGACAAAAATCTCCACTTGCCACATAATATGTTTGTGATGATGAAATGAGTTAATATCTGCAAAGAGCTTAGGGAAGTCATAGTTTAAAATGTTAGTAGTTGTTATTTAAATGGTACTTTTCTTACTTTCCACTGCTATTATAATCTTACATTGTCATCGTTATTACTATTTACATTAAGGGTCCCAACAGGAACAGAAAGCACATTTGTAATAATTCAAGGAGGGTTTATTATATAAAAGTATTGTTTATAAAGGTTTTGGTCTAATGTGGTACTATAAGAGATAGTGTAGTAACTTGTAGCCAAATTGTTAACATTTGTAGACTGGAAAGAATAGGAGAGGGAGTGATTACTTGAACTCTGAAGGGAGGTATGGAGTTGGTTGCCTTGAGAGGAGTAGCAGTTTTCATTTGAAGGGACATAGTCATCATGAGGTGATTTTTCAGGGAGAGGGCTGGAGGAATAACTATATTGACCTTATTCCCCGAACCTCCTGGGACTCTTTGAGCAAACCCAACCAAAAGCTAGGAGAAACAGGAACTTGTTGATAATAGTCCATATAGATCAGCATATTGGGGCAAAAACCAGGGAAGAGTGGAAAAGTTGACCTGGAAAAAACATCTAGTACAGTCCCACATCATCATTTATAGGCAACGTCAGCATCAGAATCCACAACTCAGCTGATATTTCAGCCCCTTAATTCCTTTACCTCCCTTTCTCAGCCACATGGTCATACTGTCACATCTTGGGTCTTGTCATTACTAAAAAGTCACCAATCCCTCATGGCACTAACTCAGTCTTATGGTCACGCAGTCACACCCTGAATCTTGTCATTTTTAAAAAGTCACCAGCCTGGGTGCCTGACTGGCTCATTTGGTAGAGCATGTGGCTCTTGATCTTGGAATTGTGAGTTCAAGACCTATGTTGGGTATAGAGCTTGCTTTAAAAAGGGGAGGAGTGTGTGCTTGGGTGGCTCAGTTGGTTAAGCTTAGGTCTTTATCTCAGGATCATGAGGTTAAAACACACATTGGGCTCCACATTGGGCTCCAGGCTGGTTGTGGAGCCTACTTTTAAAAAAAAGTCACCAGCCCCCCACATCACTAACATCTGTTCTGATCACAGCCCACTCTTCCAGTTTGCTGGCTTAAGGATTCAAGTAACCTCATATAATAGTTTCATGTTTTGAAATCTATAATTTTAATTTTTATCAAAATTAAAAACTTATGGGATGCCTGGGTGGCCCAGTCGGTTAAGTGTCCAACTCTTGCTTTTGGCTCAGGTCAGAACCAGCTCCTCTGTGGGGGCCCTGCAAGGGTGTGGGGTCTGCTTAAGATTATCTCTCTCCTAGCCCCCTCATTCCTTGCTCACGTTCTCCCTCTCTAAAAAAAACTATGTAGTTATATATTTAAAAGTTAAAATCTTTTAAAGTTAAACTTTTAAAACTTTAAAAAATTATAAAATGGAAACTTTACAAGAAAGGCCTAGACTGTAAAAGAGCAATTACGTTTAGACTTTCTTCTATGAAAGTCTTCCATTGCATTTCTCTAATATAGTTCTATCAGTTTTGGTTAAATACACACAGTACACATTGTGAACCACATAGCAACGTGGTAATATTCCCTTTGTTGTGCAGCTTTTTTTCCTTTGTTGTGCAGCTTTTTTTCCTCGTGGTAGTCATTATCTTTTTCTTTCTTTCACATTTGCTTCATTTTCTGTATATCTGCAATAATTTGTCCAAAACTTTCTTTTTTTTAGTTTATTTATTTATTTTTTTAGATTTTATTTATTTATTCATGAGAGACAGAGAGAGAGAGGCAGAGACACAGGCAGAGGGAGAAGCAGGCTCCATGCAGGGATCCCGACGTGGGACTGGATCCTGGGTCTCCAGGATTATGCCCTAGGCTGTAGGCGGCGCTAAACCGCTGAGCCATGGGGGCTGCCCTGTCCAAAACTTTCTGCATATGTAAATATCCTCTTAGTATGTTCAGTTTGGTAATCTGTTTCCTTTTTTGGTAGAAGGAAACCACTCCCAAGAGCATTCTATCTTCCTCCTCCAATCTGACCTTGTTATTCTCCAGGTCTGTTGCATAATTATTGTTCTGGGATCTCTAACACCCTGGAGAATTATGTTCTTTCTTATGTAGATACATTGAATCCTGGATCCTATGATCTTTTCTTGGATTACTCCCTCATTTGATGACTAATTGAGAAGGAAACCTTTACCCCTTTTCTCTTGTATTTCTGTTTGGTCTTCTTTTCTTGGACCACTTTTATCCTGAGAGCAATCCTCTGGATATAAATGGGGCTGCCGCTGGCAGGTAGGAGAAGGAAGCAGGGGATGGATTTTACCACTAAGTATGTAGGCTTTAATTTCATCTGTTTTAAATATGATATTCCTGTCCTTAGGTGAGTCTGTTGGCCAAGAGTCTAGAATCCCTCTGTGTCAGTCTTCCCCAAAGTGAGTCTTCTATGATGGTGGGAGGATAGTAGCCTGGCCACTCAGTCAGGGAGAAGATATCAGTCTGACTGCTTATACAGATTTTGAGCCCACTCTTTTGTTTTTTTGTTCTACCTGTGCATCTGCCTTCAGATGTACCTGGTACTTTTAATTCCTGAGCCTGAGATTTTGCAATATGAATCATTTTGCCCCTTGGCTTCCCCTTTCTCATCTTGTCCTTCCTCTGAAAGTTTCAACTTTTTCAGTCTTGCTAAGACAGTTAACTCCTTCATTAGCATTCTAGCATGCTTTTTTTTTTTTTTTTAAGATTTTATTTATTTACTCATGAGAGACACAGAGGCAAAGACATAGGCAGAGGGAGAAGCAGGCTCCATGCAAGGAGCCCGATGTGGGACTTGATCCTGGGACTCCAGGATCACGCCCTGAGCTGAAGGCAGATGCTCAACTGCTGAGCCACCCAGGTGTCCCTACAGTTTTCTTAATAATAGTCATGGTTTTATTCTTTTTGTCCTTGTGGTACCCCCCCACCCCATTTCAAAAAATCTCTTTACTCTGATTTTAGTGGATTTTTGGAAGGGACCTGTGAGCAAACAGATGTGTTCAGTTCAATCATGTTAAAATAATCCCTGCATTAGTTCTTAAATTTCATCAAAACCTTATTCAAAACTGGCTCCAATTTTTTCTTCATTAGGTCTTATCTTCTAATTTGGATTATAAGGTCTATAATTGTAGTCATTTTCTTAAATATACTGTAACCATCAACCCTTCACCTCTGATTTAGTAAAACTTCCTAGGTATAGCCAATTGCTTCTCACTTCTATCTGGTCTAGGTTGCTCTGCATCTCATTTTCTGAATTCTTAGGAACCTT